ATGCAAGAATATCAAAAAAAGTCCCATTCAAATTTCTACGCCTCTGATAAGATTGAATAAGGACAAAACATGAACATGGTTCAAATAATCCTATGGTGGGAGAATACTCTCCCAATACTCTACATCTACATATAGTGTTCCATTTCAAACGGCACAGAGTATTCGCAAAGCAGAACGGGGTGAAATTGTTTCTACGGATTTTACCTCAGATATTCTAACTACATATTTGGCAAATGGAGTAGTCTGACAAAAATTTCTCATCAGACGAGATTATATATATATATATATATATATATATAACTTGAGACGTGGTCATTGTCGTCTAGACCAGTTAGGTGAAAAATTAAAGCTTCCGCCTTTTGTTGGGTACTTCGACAAGAATTAAGCAAAGAGGACTCTTTATACTTTTTTTAATTCTCTCTAGCTTTCAATGGACTTTGCCATCATCATCAGGAGCTGCAATTACAATGATAACAGTAGCAACAAAGGTGTAAAATGAATTTGAATTGACTCAACTTACAGTAGTATGTGAGGATGTTGCTAATTGTTGTTTACGTATAGGATGAGGGAAACGTCCAGTAACATGGTGAGAGCTGAATAGATTGCACAATAGTCAAAATTTATACAAAACATGACAAGAACAAGTTAAAAACAGATTAAAAATTATTTAAAAAATTTTTAGAGCATTACATCGTGAAACCACCTGATGATTGCACAAATTAGTGGTCATGGAATGATGAATTGATGAGTGACATGAAACCCTTTGACAGAAGGCCGAAGGATGTCAATGTCAGTATTGAAAGATGGAACGAATTGTGGGCGTGTGCCAAAACGTTGCCAAATCACTTCAGATGATGAGATTTTCAGAATTTTAACAAATTCTAACATAAAATTCTGAAAATCTCATCATCTGAAGTGATTTGGCAACGTTTTGGCACACGCCCACAATTCGTTCCATCTTTCAATACTGACATTGACATCCTTCGGCCTTCTGTCAAAGGGTTTCATGTCACTCATCAATTCATCATTCCATGACCACTAATTTGTGCAATCATCAGGTGGTTTCACGATGTAATGCTCTAAAAATTTTTTAAATAATTTTTAATCTGTTTTTAACTTGTTCTTGTCATGTTTTGTATAAATTTTGACTATTGTGCAATCTATTCAGCTCTCACCATGTTACTGGACGTTTCCCTCATCCTATACGTAAACAACAACTAGCAACATCCTCACATACTACTGTAAGTTGAGTCAATTCAAATTCATTTTACACCTTTGTTGCTACTGTTATCATTGTAATTGCAGCTCCTGATGATGATGGCAAAGTCCATTGAAAGCTAGAGAGAATTAAAAAAAGTATAAAGAGTCCTCTTTGCTTAATTCTTGTCGAAGTACCCAACAAAAGGCGGAAGCTTTAATTTTTATATATATAATTTTAATTTTTCTTTTGTATGGCTCAATTCTTCCCAATGTATACGCCACTGGTGTTTTCTTAGGCATGACAATTTTTGTATGTATTGACAATGTAGTTGGTAGTACATGTACAAAATTTTAAGCCAATATCCAAAATCCACCCCAAAGATATTACATTGTTTTCTTGGATTTCAAAATTATAATTTGAATACCCTGTATCTCGATGTTTTAGGACCTATGTTTATATAGCCTTTTTTGATATTCTTATATACAGGATGACTTTTTAGTGCGTGCTCGGTGAATAATACCGTTATTGTAAAATTTTTCATTTACCTTGATATATTATTTACGAGAGGATTAGCTGTAACTCAAAAGCCAGTCGTACAAACCTCCACAAACCTTATTTAAAAAAAAGTTTATAGAGAGGAGAATTAGAAAAGGTGAAAATACAGTGCATTTTGTTTAAAATTTTAGAAAAACCGTTAATTTTGCGTTCATGACCACCCTGCAAAACCGTCCAAAAAACTGAAAAGTACGTAGCAAGTAGATAGGAACATGGTTTGTGGAGGTAACGCCGATAGGAAATTGAAGGGCGGGGGATCGGCGATTCAAAATAGAAGAACGGGAGGGAGTCGTTTGCAAATTGAAAATAACATCCGAATTTTTTTAAGCTCAGATATTTCGGGGGGATCCAAACCCCTAAGAAGTCCCCCTTGGATCCGCCACTGAAAGTTATGTTGAAACATATTATGCATCTTGCGATTTATTCGAAACAAATGCTCTCTCATACCGTTTTTGACTTGCTTATCACAGCAGGAATGTCCAGTTTTAACATCCCCTAATCTGACTAATCTAGACTTTACGATATATCGTCCTCAATATTATCAAAATTACCAGAAACAGTATCTTGAGCCTCCAATTTTCCTATCGCTACTTTCCGAAGCAATCTCCGCGTATACAGAGCTGAAGCTTATTACAAATTCATTAAAAAATCAATCAAATATTGTATGGAAAATGAAAGCCAATTTTTACTTCTATATTTACCTGATGATAAAATTCGTTAGTAGGAAGTATGTTCAGCAAAGAAAAATTATTATTAGATCAAGGAAACTTTCAATGTAAAACAGAATTCGAGTATAAGAAATTGACATTGATATTATTTGTTACTTACGGATACAATGTTTGGATAAAATGTTGTTAAGAAAATCTAGTATGATCCAAAAATCAACATATGATTATGCCTATTTTCGATGACTGGAACTTAAATTTTGTTAAATAGGGGAATGAAACTTGTAGATATTTATTGCGATTTTATATCTTACATCAAAATTAAGAATTTCAGATCGACCAAAATAATTCGAGTTTCTTATAATTCTGGGGTGTAGTCAAAAAACCACTTCAAGTGCTCATATTTAAAAAATGCGATACTCCGTTTTACGAGGTTTTTTCAACTTTACTAGTCTAAGAAGACGTAGTTATATATTCTTTAGGGGGTGAAAAATTTTGAAAGTAGTCATATCTCATATTGTAATTATCATTGATAATGGTTGGAATGGCCTGTAGTTGACATGATGAATAGATTTTATATTGATGCTAGGGAAGTATAGGGTTCCACATGACTCCACTGTATTTTTTTCGTGTCGCTAGTGATTTTTGAGTACCGTCGATTGGGGTGACATTGATCTCAAGGGGCGAGTTTGATCACCAGATCATTTTCTCAAAAGTTTGAGTTTAGCGCCAGAATTAGCGAACCACTCACAGCGAAAGATGGTGCGTGCATCAGAGGAAACATGGCCGCAGATACAGTATGCGTGCAAGCTAGCGGTGCCGCTTACTCAATGTGAAAAATCAGTGTTTTTGAAGGTCTCGATTTTGGGGCATGGAGTAACTATCTGGAAATTTGCCAGGTAAGTTAAAGTGCTGATCTCTATTTTTGTTTACGTCATACTAGGCATGTTTGTTGATATTTTGAGGTTATGGTGTAGTCGAGCGGGAAGGAACAGTGCAGTGCTTTTCATAATATTGAGATATTTAATGGGTGGGGTCAGATTGTTTGCCTAGACGGGGCGAGATTGATCAATTTTCAGTGATCAATCACACCCCATCTAACAATATATGTACATTTATGTTTGTATTGTTAATGGAATTATGATTAGATTTAGCTATAATTTTATTGTTTCTTACAGTTGAAGGGTCCTAATCATGCCGAGGAATTATAAAAGAGCACTTGGATCACGCCGCTATGTGGATTATGCCCCAGAGACCCTAGAAGCTGCTCTCAAAAAGGTGGTAGAAGATGAATGTTCCCTCCGTCAAGCATCGGCTGCACATAATATCCTTTTGGCACCCTTCGAAATAAGTATAAGGGAATCAGAATTCTGAAATCTGGAGGTCTAACAGTTCTTTCAGCTGCCGAAGAACATCCCTTCGTAAAAGCAGTAAATATCTGTTCAGATTGGGGGTTCCTACTCACGCTTACTGGTTTGCGCTATATAGCTAAAATCTATCTGGATAGTCGGGGTCGCATTATTGGGAAGTTTAGAGCAAACATGCCTGGAACAGATTGGGCTCGTTCTTTGTTAAAACGACATAAGAAAGATACTAGCCAAAAAGTTGCATCGAACATCAAGTGAGCTCGGGCTAATGTTTCAAGGGAAGATATCGTCCAATATTTCGAAAATTTGAGTGGAACATTAAAGGATATCCCAGCTTGTAGTATATTCAACTACGATGAAACAAATGTGCAGGATGATCCCGGAAAACAAAAGATGCTGTTTCGGCGTGGTACAAAATACCCTGAAAGGATATGCAACTTTACCAAAACTGCTACTACCATAATGATGTGCGGGTCGGCTTCTGGTGTGCTGCTTCCACCATACGTTATATATAAAGCTGAGAAAATGTGGATGCAGTGGATTGAGCTCGGTCCCAAGGGCGAGCCTTGCTGCAACAATAGATGCCTCGTTTGTCTCCCAAAATGTTCGACCAATCTCACTCAGCCATTAGATGTCGGATTATTTCGCCCTTTCAAGATAGTTTGGAGGTCTTCCCTAACAAAATGGAAGAAAGCTCATCCCCATCAGTCTACTATAGATAAAAAGGATTTTCCCTGTGTATTAGCTTCTACCCTTGTAGAAATAAACCAAAAACATGAGAATGCTATAAAAAAAGACTTGATAAGCTCATTTCGTGCAACTGGTATAGCTCCTCTGGATGCTGAACGAATTCTGCGAAAAATTACAAGCCAAACGACTGATACGAATACTGAAGACTCGCTGGGCAACGTTCTTATGGAATATCTGCAACAGCAGCGTTTTACGGTAGGACCATCAAGAAGAAATATGAGGCGTCGAAAGCTTTCGGTAGAGCCTGGAAAGTGTTGTTCCAGATGAAGGATTCAGTGACTCAGAAACGTATGACGATCCTCAAACTAATGATAGCTCTAGTGAAAACTTATTAGAAACCATCACCGAACCGAAAACTAAATACTTTGAACCAACAGAAATAGATATACTTTCTGGCAAATTTCTTCTAGTTAAAGTATGTGGTGGATCTAGAAAAAAAAAACAGTTTATCGATATGTTGCCATGGTGCAAAATGTGACCGAGAGTCAATATGTTCGAGAATTCGCGGTGTTGGGATTAAAGTCTGTAGATGGATCTAAGAATAAATTTAAAGCTCAAGATGGCGACGAATTTCTAGTGGATTTTCCAGACATAGTAGCTGTGTTACCGGATCCTGTCGTGGAAAATGCAGACGGGCTTATCACCTATCGTTTTGAAAATATGATAGATATATTCGAAATGTAGTTTTTCTTTTTCATATTCTACCTCAACTGTTAGGAGACTTATTTAAGTTATTTGTATTAGTTATAGATATGGGCAAGCACCTATTTCAAAATGTGAAAATATTTTTTGTGAGGTATCTGGAAAAATAAAGGTTGTTTATCAACCAAATAGGTGTTTTTGGCCATTATTTACTGGAACACGTACAATAAAATACAGTTGATCAATCTCACCCATAGTGAACAATCTCACACCACCTACATTAAAATGCTGTAACTCTGTAACCAGTTGAAATATAATAACCAGAGTTGAGGTTATTCATTTAGGAGCCTGTACCCTCATTTTAAATGCTATTAATACTATGTGAGCAATCTCGCCCCAAAACAGGTATGAAATTGATCAGCCGTTTTCAGTTCCGTTAGGGCTATAGTTTCAAACACTGGTGTTCTTTGCATCTGCTGTGCCATTCTTACCCATAATATGTATCAGATTCGATCATTATAGCGGAATAAAATTTTGACACAAAGAAAATAATGCGAAAAATTTGAATATTTTGATCAATTTCCCCCCAAATGACGGTATCGAAATGACGGAGTCAAAAAATATTTCTTCTTTAAGCAGATACCATTAGTGATGGTTCAAATTTTTGTACCCCTAAAAACTTAAAAAATCCTAGACGTTGTAACCTAATAGGTAGTCGTTTTGTCGTATCATCAATAAGATTTGAGAAAAACAGAATTTTTTATGATGTTACCACGATTACAATGACTCTTTGGTATTAAATAAACAATTACTTTGCCTTGGATTTCGGAGCTTTAAAATTATGAGTCAACAATAAGCTTTGATAATGCATTTCTTTACCTGTACAGCAAGGACACAGAGTTGCATAGGTATAACCACAATCCTACGTCATCCAGCAAAACAGCACCCGAAATCAGTCACGAAAAAAACATACATATTACATCTGCAATGTAGCATGCCGGGGTGCTATCGAGTATGACTCACCGAACGCAGCACGAAGCTGGCTCTGGAATCGAAGGCGTGCTTCGACTGTTTTTCCAGCGAGTACGCGCCGCGACGCAGAAGTGTCAGTCACAGCCTACCGCTACGAAAGATCGTTATCAACTGAGAGGCTGTGGATGAGGCGCCGACACGGTGCGGACACGGTATAAAGAGGAAGAGAAGGTTTCAAGGTGAAGGAATGCGCCGGGTCCCGGAACGGAGATGAGAGGAAAATAAGGAAGTAAAAGGCTGGGAATGTAGCAAATATTTGGTTTGATAATCGCGATATATGAAGCGAGTTCGGAGGCTTGCGGTTTCCAGAAGTGCATAATTAAAGCAATCAGGGGCGTGGTTTCGCTGGTGCGTCTAACCCATCGAGATAGAAAGTTTTTAATGCAATACAAATAACAATTCTTTGAGCCTTTCGCTACGTTATTTTTGACAACGACAGCAAATAAGGTTGGTTGGAAAAACAAAAGTTTTTATCACCACTAAAGCGACTCGTTGTCTGACTGATGATAGTCATGACTAGTGACTTTTTTCGATTTTGACGTAAGGCTAACTCCATAATTTGAAAACCTTGTTAAATTTTCTCAAAGAATGTTTCGATATTTTTGTCCGAACCGGACAACAAATGAATCTGTTTAGAATTATAAAACCGCAGAACAACAAGTGACCAGAAAACCAATATTACTACTTCAAACGGCTACCTTGCCACATTGCATAATACAACAAAAATAAGAACAATTCAATTTATTCTATTCATTCTTGCATTCATTTTTATCTACTCAAATTTCTATGTTTCCACCGATATGTTATTATAACTTAAAATCATCTCAATTAACCTTACCCAGCTTTACGAAGAGCGGCAACAGCCTTGAATAAGGAAAATAAAGTTTTACGAAATAAGTTCTTTTCTCTATTTTTCATAACTAACGGAACTTTTTTATTTCGATAACGGAGAACGAAGGACTGTGTTGCTAATGCGCAAAGTTGAAATACGAAGATCTTAGCGAAACGAAACAAGGGCGCTAAAAACTCTAGTATCTAGAGAGACGCTACTAAAATCTCATGACTATGTGAAATACTAATATAATAAATACTAACCCATAGGTTTCACAGAAACGTTATGCCTGACGATTTCTTTGTATCCACAACGGATTGCCTGCATCATCAGGACATAAGACACCTTGTTTATTCGCAATCAGGTGCGAATCTAGTTTGACCACTATTAAAGACTTTTGCAAATAAGAAATGGAGACCAACTGGTATAAAATCACAAAATTTGGCAACCCTGATCAATTTGTACGTGCATGATGGCGTGGAAGTGAGAGGGTTGCGCAAGTCTGGTTGCCTATACGTTGAGCTTGACGCAGATATAAATAAAATAGCGATACTGCGATTTTCGGCTTGGTAGTACTGCATCTACTACAGCATGTGTTCTGGTTCTGATTAAGGTAGTTAACCGAAAATTCGGGCAGGAATATACGAAAAAAAACCCATCGCGTGCGCCTTTACCGCTGCGAGTAAATTTGTCAAAAATATTTTATGACGGACCAGATCAGAGGAAGGCGGTTTCATTTAATTAAAAGGAGATAATAAGCATCAATCATGGTTATATAACGGTAAGAGTGTTCAAATTTTCATCTACCAGTTCATAAAAATATATACTACTTCATATTTTCCGCAACTCTCGGAAATTGGTTGCCAGAAGAAGCTTATTCTAATAAACCGCGATTAACAAAGTCTCATAATATTTAATATAGATTTTATTAATGTAGCTATATTATTAATACGTATATATTATAAAAGGTTCGTACGACTTTCTAAAAGCTATCTTTGGTTAGTAGAGAACACAATGTCTGGCTTTGAGGGCCAAATACAGCACCGAGTCCGTTTTCTTTTATATCAAGTTCAAAGAGCGTTTTTGAACTTTGTCTATTGTCTATTTTATGAATGAAATTATTGTAGTTGATTGTATTTCTTAATTCCATTATTTGGGCTGCTTGAAAGACCCAGGCTACTTTAGTCATCATATCATTATTTCGATTTTATGTAGTTGGAAGAAGATCCGACGTTATCCTTTATCAAAATAAGAAGTTCCGTTAGCTACGGAGAATAAGTGTGGGTTTATTTCATACAGTTATTTTTTTCATATATAGTGGTGCTGCCGGAATTCGTAAAGCTGGGAAAAATTAATTAAAATGAGTTCATGTTGTTAAAGCATTTTAGTTAAAATAAAATAGATATCAGAATTTTAGATCACAGGTAAAAACAAATGCAAGAAATATGCATGTTCTTAGGGCCGTATCGCCCGTCGTTCCTGGAGCCATCATAACACAAATATTACCAAAACTTTTCGATGAAAAAAATGTACAAAGCTCTGAAATTTTGGGATTAGCTTTTCACAATAAAAAAAATAAATTACCTGTCATGAATGTCAGTACTGTCAAATTACCACTGTTCACTTCAGTAGTCATAAAGCTCTTCTTCCTCCGGCCTTCGTAAATGATATAAAAAAAAAATGGACGGATTAACGAATCGTTATTTTTGTTGCACTAAAAACTCTCTATTGCGTCGTCTTTATCTGCCGGGTAAAGGAAATTACAAGATCTAATCTAGCGCCCTCGTAAACTAGAACTTTGCGAGACACCCTTGTGCATTGGGCGTGGATGGTAGGCAACCAGAATTATGCACATCGAGAGTGATCGGCACGCTTCGATTGCCATCTGGACCACAGCCATTAAGGTTCGTGACTCGGCCTAGAAAACGCAGGAGTACTTCTCAACTCGTCGATAAGATAATAAATATAGGCACAGAGGGCGCAAGCACGCATCCAAGGGGCAGCGACCGATGAATTAACGTGATATAGTTCAGCCAACATAGTTATAAATTTGTCATAAATTAGTTGCAAGTGTGGTTATAAACTAGTGTAAAAGTAATAAATTAGACTTTGAACAGTAAACACGGTGTTTTTGTTACAGATATGCTCTATTCAAAAGTGCAATCAAACTGAATAAGCCCTGTGCAATGAACATGCACTGAGTTTAAACTGAAAATAAAATTATGAATTACCATCGTTCCATTCGGCGAGAACGCTGCCCTGTTTCTCCCAATCCAGCAACTGTCTGTGTCTCGGCCTGTTTCGATGATCCATCATCCGCTTCAAGCTCACTTCGTAGTATCAGCATGATGATCCCGCATTAGCACGCACTCAACTGTCTTTTTGTTTTGATGTTTTCCGCGATTACGAAAGACATTTGACACAACTTATGACGTTATAGTTCAAATTCAACTAGGTAAATGTAACACAAATATTTATGGTGGAGTCTTTTAGTCCAAGAAGGTCTAATACCTCTGTAGTGAGTACTATAAGAATCTTCTAAACATACTGCCTTCGCCGTCCGATAACCGAGTCACCACGGTGACCACTAGAGGCTGATGATTCTGGAGGTATAGTAGATGTGACCTACTCGATTGAAGAACTAAACATACTGCTTTCGTCAATCCGACCACAGACCCCATGTGCAGCTATTTCGTGTTTTTTCGCAACTCATCAGCATGGTCTAGGTTTCAGATCAACAACGAATGAAAGCTTACCAACCATCCTCTGTTCGAGGTATGAGATCTATTGAAATAAGACAGCACAAAGCGCCATCTATTAGCAGAATCGGTTATTGCAAAAGTCAATAGCTGCTATCGGTTGGAACTGTGAGATCTCAGTTCGTGTTGGATAGCTCACAGTGGTGACTGGGCTATTAAACGCGAACTGAGATTTTGCAGTCCCAACCGATAACTGCAATTCACTCTCGCAGTGGTCGATTCTGGAAATAGATAGCGCTGTGTGATCTCTTATTTCGATAAGAACCAAAACGGTGGAAGTTGGAAACAGAAACACTAGATGCCTAGGTTGGCGTATTTTTAAGCAGAATTCTAAAAACTAAACATTCTGTATCAAATCTAACATCAAGGCTGTTAATAAATACGCGGAATATGATCAAATATTTTCTCTAGCCATACCTGCATTTTTTCAAGATTTTGTATGTACAAGTTTCTTATATTCCCCACATTACCCACCATTTTGAACTTTATCAGGTGCAGAGCTATAATGTCGCAATTTTGGACCATATTTCTTTTTTCTACCTCCTCTAAAATTCAAATGGAGATTTGGTCATTTTTACTAATTAAAAATTATACTTTGCGCAAACTTTTATCGACTTTAGGACACACCCTGTATACAGCTGATAAAAATATATAGGATGTTTTTGCAATCATATTCTCAAGCATATATTAATATGCTTTTGCATTTATTTTATTCAATATTGATTAGTTATAAATATTTTCAATGTTTTAATCATACAGATCCGGACTTAAAATAACGGTGAAAGTGACACACATCGAATCTTATCCAAATCTGATAATCCAGCTATTCTACATGTAAATGCATTATCTATATTTTTGATAAAAGCCCCCTTTAAATTTGAGATTCCATAACTGCAGTAAAAGTCAAATAGGTAAATTAGGCCAAAAATCAGTGTTCTTTGATTCAAATATTTTTTACACCAAATCAGCAACGTAGGCAGAAGCCTGAATGCCAGGGCACCGCGGCTGCTATGAGGAGCTTGAGAAACTTTGTTAATTAGATTTTTGGACTGCCTAAGGTTAGCAGAACTGGGAAAAGCCTCATCGTGTAGATTGTTCCACATTCTCGATACCCTAGAGACAATGACCAATCGAAATATGTATATTCAAAACATAAAAGATAATTTATTAGTTTGGGGACAGGTAGCATTTTGCATTATTTTAATTTAATAGCCAGGAATTTTCTTCCAGAAATCAACTCAGAATGCAATCAGTAACTATCTGCACTGCATCAGAAAAATTACAAGGATACTCACACAGCTACATCTTTGAACTATAAAAAATTTCCACAATGTGACTTTGAATGTCAAACAATTCATTCGCAAGTGATGATTATATAACATCTAATATGTACTCAAAGATTTTGTTAAATACACACTTATTAACAGGTACACTTGACTGTTTACAAATGGTAGAATTTAACAATTGTGGTTATATGTATACACGAAACTATAATCAATCTATTTGCACTTGTAAAAGTAGTATTTTTAGAACAGAATCTGAAATGGATGAAAATTATTAAATAATATATCTCCTGTTCAGCATTAACTCTCGAACGGCCGTAGAATCTTTGATATCCGGAAAAGAAAGGAAGAAATTACATCTATACGGGCAAAAAAATGGCATTTGCTTTCCAATCCATCCGTATTGTGTGTCAAGGCAGTCCATAGAGGCTTTGGCCAAATTTCAAATAAAGTAAGTCGGTCACTTTTGAGATTATGCCACCTGGCTAGCCCAGAAAAAAACCAAGTTCAAAGAGAGAGAGAGAGAGAAAGCGTAGGGAGAAGAAATAATAAAGGCAAAATGTGAAAAATGAAACTATTAAAGCGACATTCCACGCGAAAAGCGCGTCAGAAGACTGAATTGTGAGACTCATTGGATTTGGAATTGAGTATTTCATACTGACAGTGTCAGTTTCAAGTTCAACGTTGAGCTTTTAGTTGAAAGTTGTATTAGTTATTTTTTAGTGAAAATGCGCGCACTAAAAAACAATCCATGCTACAACTGTGAAAAATTCCGCCTCTGAATCTACTTATTAAATTACACTTTCTTAACGTAACAACATAGCTCTGCACCAATTTCAACATAAACAATTTCCTCACCAACTAATCACTTAAAATTGCAGAATAATCCTTTAAATGCTTATGATTAAAATATAAATTTTCAACGAACCGGTTTGATATTTACGAAACTCAAACAACGAATTCTCTGAGTTTTCTCCCGGCACAGAATAACAAGTTTGTTCCCTCTCGGCTAGAAACCGACTGCCGAAATGCCGGAGTCGATTGAATGAAAAGTGTAACGACGTTGAGTTGTGAAGCTTTTTCGGCAACGTTTGGACGGGAGCCAAATTTAGACGCCGGGATTGGAATGCAGCGTAAAAAGAGACGGCTAAACAAAACATTACCGCAGGCGACATCTATTGACAAATTGGATGAATATAATTCTACTTTACATCAATTATTAACGTATTCTACATGCTGATTCTCGCGTCCAAAAAATTATCGAGATGAAATGAGATACCATAGTGTCATCTATGAGAATTTATCACAGATGTGTCTCTACTGCGTACTAATTAGAAACCAACTTTGCAAAAGTTAGGGTCTCATAGATGGCGCTGTAGCCAAATGCTATAGGAGCTACAAAATGAGGTATCACACGAAGCCCTCATCACTTAAAAATGGTCCGTTCAAAAAATAAAAAGCACTAATTAAAAATCAGCCATCAGAATTCAAGTCAGTCCTATTTTTACTTAACGTTCTCACCTGGTACCAGCAAATCGGTCATCTATCCAACTTAGCAGATAGTGCCCAGGCACTGAAAGTACAAAGGTTTACAATAAAAGTACACCGTAAAATATTTTGGGATTTTGTTAATGGATGTTTGAAGAATATTTAGGAACTGGCAACATTGAAATTTCCGTTTCTTCATATGGCTTTTCGGAGTCAAAGATGGCTTATATTTAAAACATCAACATAAGAGAAAGTTTTTATAGCACCGTTTTTGTTCAGTACGTCCCAAAAAACAAACTGAAAACACTTTGTTTAAAAACATTGTATAAACTATTTTGACGCAATTTCGGACCTGGCAACGTGTAGATTCGTTGAAAAAATTCCTTTTAGATTACACAAAAAATCCAATTAGAGCGGATGCGATGATACTACCTAGACTAGTCATTTTTGTCTACATTTTGGCTACTATTTCACTATTTCCTTTGCAAGATTCACAAGCAAATTACTATCACAACTCAAAATTCCATCTAAATCAGTCAAAATACTGAAACAAGCTTATTAACAGTCAGCAGCTACGACCCCCTCTTGCCACTCCCACCTTCTTCCGTACTTCCCACCTCTTCAGTTGCGAGTTGAATAGTGGCTCACATGTTTAATACATCCACAATTGAATTGCTTCCTGAAGATCCTCACAAACTGTTGTCACATTTTACATGCACTATTTACCACAAACCACACTCCGCGACTGTCTCTGTCAATTTGTTAATTAATTTTTTGCTAACTGCTATCGCTCATTGGTTGGATATGCTGGCCATTATGTTGCCTTATACAGTGATCATAAAAGCGAAGTTATTGCTGAATGGTTTTCACGGAATAAACGTATAGTTCTATGGCACAAAATAGCATGAATTATTCATACTGCGTTACATGGATGCCTCTCTTATGTACAGTCGCGGTTAAAAGTCGGGACTTTTGTTAGTCACAGTGACTCATCCGACAGTCACCGCACGTTATTTCTTGAATGAACCTTTCTTTTGGACTACTTTTTTACGTACTAACTGAAATAAGCAAGAATTAACTGTGGAATTAACGTACGTACATTTCAGCTCTAATGCATAGATTTTCTAATCCATAGCACTGATTAACGTATGAAGATAGCCAGCCATATACTGTATTCCGGTGACCAAAAAGGGATCTGCTATTGTATCACAGATGGCGCCAGCACCTTCAATCCCTTTTTGGCAGCCCAATTCTTATTATTTGAAATGGATAACGTTAATCAATTCCAGAAGATAACCAATTAAAAAAGGCATTAGAGCTAGAGATGGCCGATATCGTTATTTTTGACATCTCTGGTATCATTCTTTTTGATATCAGTGATTTAAAAGCGTGACGTGATCAGGGCTTTCGACTAACGATTGGCGCTTGGGTATATTGATATCCGCAGCACAATACAAAACTCATGCATCAGATTTTCTTATGGAATCCGTAAATTTGATCATATTAGTAGCGCTTTTGACCAATCGGGATGGTTTAAGATGAACAAATTGAGGAAACTGCATTGCCTATCTTTGGTACATAAGACCCTTATCCTTAAAGCGCCATATTATCTTTATACAAAACTAAGCCTCCTCTGCCAGTACGATCAAAGATCCTCTAGGAATAAACTCATCTTACTTATCCCGCGGCATTCGACAGCATTGTTCACACGCAGTTTCTCGTACTGGGCACCCAAACTATATAACTATATAACTGCTTATCAAGTGAGTATAAAGAATATAGCCTAAGCAATTTTAAAAAAAGGTTAAAGATGAGTTTAAAGCAGTCGGATGGCTAAAATTTTACTTTATGCATATCCACAGGTAATTGATTGTTTCCTTTCTCTGATAAGTGTTATATTCTAAGTTTTTTTTTTCTCTCTCTCTCTATAGTTTGTGTCAATGTTTTCCAGGTCGGGTTGAAAAACAGCATAAGCTGACACTCCACCTTTTCGTCACTGTTCCTTTTAAATCAATTATTTTGTAATCGTGTGACGAATAAAGGCCATTTATTATTATTATTATTATTATTATTAATACCGCGATGAAATCGTATGGAGCGAACTACCAAAGTATATAAGGCACACATGTACGAGGAGGTACCCAAAAATAACCGGAATCGCATTGCAGTGGGCGGAGCTTGTGTAGTACACATTTCGGCCTCTAGAGGCATACAGCGCAACTCATTACCGCCACCTGAGTTGTCTATCTGTCTTATTTCGTTCCTCTGTAGTCATTATTTTTGCTAGGGCTGTGTCGTGCTTGTTTCGTTTTTTACGATGGCAAGCATGAGTGAGCAACGTGCAGCTGTAAAATTTTGTTTCTAATTGGTAAAAATGCTGCTGAAACTGTTTTAATGTTGAAAATAGTTTACAAAGATGATGCTATGGGAAAAACTCAGGTATACGAGTGGTTTGCTCGATTTAAAAATGGCGACATGTCGATTGATGACAAACCTCGCTCTGGACGTCCTTCAACTGCCCGAATCGACGGAAATGTTGCAAACATTCGAGAGTTAGTGCTATTTGGAGGTTTTAAGATGATTGCGAAACAGTGTTCGGCAAAAAAGACCCGATTTGTGGCAGTCAGAAGACTGGTTCTTCCTCCACGATAATGCACCTACGCTCATAGCCATCTCTGTTCGACAGTTTCTGGCTAAAAATAGCATGGTTCCGCTACCTCACGCACCTTATTCGCCTGACCTGGCTCCGTGCGACTTTTTCTTATTTCCAAGGATGAAAAGAGGCATGAAAGAACGCCGCTTTGACGACATCGAAGAGGTCAAGAAAAAAAAGAGGGAGGAGCTGTCAGACATTTCTAAGGAATTCAAAAAATGTTTCGAGCAGTGGAAGCACCGGTGGGACAAGTGTATTAATGTAGTGGACAGTATTTTGAAGGAGATATGGTTACTTTGTGAAAAAGTTGAAAATAAATACAGCTTTTAAAAAATAATTCCGTTTTTTTTTGGTACCCCCTCGTATAATAACATAAAGGAGGCAGTTGTGTTAGTTATAAATAACGAGCGCATCCCCACAGTAGAATATTCTAAAACCTGGGTGTTATCCTAAACTCTGTATTGAAGTTGGATAGCCACATCAGTTACCTGTCTCAAAAAACATGTCAAATTGAAACCTTTATATTCCAACAGGTACATTTTAAATATTCTAGGAAAAAATTATTCGAAAAACACTCCAACTTCTAATTTAAGTCCTAGGTTCTTCAACTTCAGTGATAGCCCCCACTTCACCCCTAAGGGGTGGAATATCCAAAATGTCTTTGTAAGTGTTCATTTCCATTACATCAGTCGGTTAATCGGAATTTCATAAAGTGTACAGCTTATACGGTGTCTCCCAACCCAAAGTAAGATTTTTTGGTGATACGTATCTTTATTCCAGGCGGATTTGTAGGCGATATTGTCCTTTGTAGGAACTACACACTAAAAACTGGCGGAAAAAATAAACTTAAGTCTTGTTTCCTTGATATCGTAGAGAAACAAATCATGTGTTAGCCAAATTCTTGGCAATACTGTACATTGAAAGGACGCGGCAAGAGCAATTATTTTGCTTGCACAAATTATACAACAAAAAGTGAAGGACAGGCACATTTGAAACATTCGCCTACAAAAATGTATCGTCTAAAAAAAGAGAAACTTCGTAGTAGTATCGAATATTATAATAGGATAGGCACATTTGAAACATTCGCCTACAAAAATGTATCGTCTAAAAAAAGAGAAACTTCGTAGTAGTATCGAATATTATAATAGGTTCTGTTAAAGATGTTTTGAAGTTGGTATGACATTATTTAATTGGTCAGGTAAAAATTGGTCTCTATTACTCATATTGTATACATCGCTAAGCAACCAATACGACATCATTCAAAGCAGGAAGAGGGAGATCTCAGAAACGATTTTTGCTTATATCTTAGC